AGACCACAACAGTCCCTATGCCCAGGGGTATAAAGGGTACGGGATCCACCAGCTCTGTGGCCAGCAAAAGGCGCAGAGCTGTGCTTGGGGCACACTGCCACCCTCCTCCGCCCCAAGCACCTCAGGCTGTCCAGCCACTCCAGCAGCCACTGGAGCCCTGGGGAAGGAAGAGAGCAGGGAACAGCCACAAAGGGGCCATGCCAACAATTCCTCCAAGCCCCTCCCCTCTAGCCAGCAGCCACCCCAGAAAAAAATAAAGCCACAAAAGCCCCTGGGGGCTTCAGCAGCCTCCATTTCACACCTTGCTCCTACTAAAGATGAGCTTCTCTGCAAGCTCCAGCTCTGGGCAATGATCCTGGCTACTGCAGAACCCCTGGCTTTGTGGGAACTGTGGCAGGCATGTGGAGCTTGGGCAGGAGCAGAGCGAGGGCTCAGGTGGGTGTCAGGCTCCCCAGCTGGCCCTGGTCCCGTGCAAACACCCTTGGTCACCATCAAGCCCTTCTGCAAAGACAGGATTAGCCTTCCTTGGACTAATTTTTTCTCCTACAGTAAAGCATACACTGAACTTGCTACATATTAAACAGCAAAAACCAGCTATTTAGAACCAAAGAGATCTTTAAAAAAACAAGGTATCACTTTTTTTGTTGTTGTTTAAAAGATCCAGTATGACATCAAGTTAAACTATACAGTATTTTTAATGAGTATTAACAAACTGCTTAAAAAGAAAAAAAAAAGGCAAAACAAGAAAAAAAGAAATAGAAACACGGACAGAAAACTCGGTAGGAAGTTCTACATCTTTGAGGCAGCATGAAGATAACCATCGGTCCCTCTTCCTTGGGCAGCACAGAGCAAGGTCTGCTTTAACCCACTTAAAGCTGCACATGAAGACTGAGCCCCAGAGTCAGACCTATCACTGAATTGTCCTCATGCCTCCTCACCATCCTTGAAACAAAAGTCCTTCTCCACCTTTTATATGAGTAGTCCCCAACCAGCAAAGCAGGTGCTGCCCAGGCCTCTACAAGGTTCATCTTCCTGTATTTGCTGTGGACAATATTTATTAACCTTGTTCTCATCACCTGTGCAGCACAAGGGCAAGTTACTGGCTACTGCTTACTAATTACCACTCATCACAACATTCCTGCCTCACACAACGGCCAACAAACAGCACAGAAGAGCTGAGGCTGGCAGGGACCTTGGGGAACCATCTTGTCCAATCTGCTTGCACAAGGTCAGCTACAGCAGGCTGTCCACGACCACATACAGCAAGTGGGTGAGTATCCCTGCAGATGGATGTTTAACATCTTAATGTCTCCAAAGACAGAGAGGGAAAGGCTGATGGGCAACCTAGTGAGCACACCTTCAATCTCCAAGGCATCTAACTGGCATGTAACAGGTCCCTCGGTCATGAGAAGCCAGCAAATTCCTGCAGAGGAAAACACCTGAGGCTGCATCAACTTTGCTAGGGGAAATTTATTTGTAAGTGATGTTTACAAGAACTGTGCAAAACCTGAAAAATACAGAAGAGGTAAAGATAGAGTAAAGGGGTAAAACAGGACTCCCACAAGAGGGGAAAAATGCACTCCTTTGCCCACTGCTGACCTTCCCCTTCCTCTAGAGCCCAGCCTGCAGGCCAGGATGGATGCCCCTGGCTTGCTTTGGTTCCCTCCAGCAAATCAGCCACCAAGCTCCTGGCAGCACGGGTTCCTGTTGGCAAGGTTGACACTTCTCAAACTGTAGGTTATTAGTAGTGTTCTCTCAACCTTTACTGTTACAACTGCCAGAAGGGCTCTTTGCCTGATGCCCCTGGGGGGATGCTAACAGCCTAAGCAGTGCAAAGGGGCCCAGAGGCTGGGAGGGAGTTTTGGCAGGAGAGCTGGGTCCCTCCAGAAGCAGGCTCTCAGTCATGAGCAGGGCAGGGAGACCCTCCTTGCCACATTTGCCAGTAGAGGCACAGCGCTTGCTACTCCTCCCCATGCTGCTGGCAGGGATGGGCAGGCTCATCCAGGACCCTTGCAGGGTGTGATAGCCAATGACTGCAAAAGCAGCAATGCCAAAGTGCTTTTTGGAGCTATGTGGCCCCATGGCTTTTCCCTTTCTACACTCTAGAAAGAGGGAGAGCAGGGGAGGTCAAGGCAGTCAACACTAACAAACTGTAGCAGTCCTTGCAACTGATCTTGGACCAAGAAATATGGAAGATCCCAGAAGCAGAAACCTGCTACTTCCTCGCTGAGCTCTCTCTGCCCTTCTCCTAAGCCCTCTCACGAGGAGTCACCCAGCCCTATGGACCAGCACCGTCAGGCAGAGGACTGAAAAAAGGCTGCATGCGAAAGGCTGGTGCCCACAGCTCAGATCCCAGCACTGGAACTGCAGGTACAGCATGAACTAGGCAACTACAGGCTCCCCACCTCCCTCCTTTCCTCTCCACCCCTTTGAGCTTTTCACATCGTCCATCGCCCCTGTAAAACAAGTGGTGTAGCAACCACAGAGGCCAGAGGAAAGTTTACCTGCCTGACCTCCCTACCTCTCTACCCCCAAACTCTGTTTACAACCAAGAAGAGGGAAGGGGGAGGCTGAGGCTCTGGAGCATCACATGCAAGCTGCAAGCCACCAAGGGGCAGGAGGCTCATGACAAGCAGGCAGCCACCTGGTAGGCGCCCTCAGTTGTGTGCTGGACACTGTGCTCCTGCAGCAGGCCCAAGTCCAGGAACCGCTCCCCGCACCACATGCACTTGTACTGCTGCTCCCGGGCATGCACACTATGGTGCTTGTTGAGGTGCTCACGCTGCTTGAAGGCCTTCTCACAGGAGGGGCACTTGTAGGGCTTCTCACCGGTGTGCACACGCCGGTGGCGCTGCAGGTCCGAGGCGTACTTGAACCGCTTGTCACAGTCAGGGCACTTGAGGGGTTTCTCACGGGCCGGGTCGCAGCAGTGCTGCACGAACTCGGAGGAGGAGAAGAAACGTCTCTCACAGAGCGTGCACTTGAGGGGCTTCTCGGAGCAGTGGGCCAGCTGGTGCTTCTGCAACGCTGAGGCCCGCTTGTAGGACTTGTTGCATATGCCACACTTGAATGGACGCTCTGCGTTCTGCACACACTTGTGCCGCAGCAGCTCCGAGGACTGGTTGAAGCCCTTCTGGCACACGTTGCACTTGAAGAGGTTTTCTATGCCATGCACATGCTGGTGGTACACCAAGTGCGAGGGCTGCACAAAGCCCTTCTCACACAGGTTGCACTTGAAGGGTTCCTCAGCCTTGTGCGTGCGGCGGTGGCGCATCAGCGCGTACTGCTGCTTGAAGCTCATCTGGCACAGGTCACACTTGAAGGGCCGCTCCTCGCTGTGCGTGCGCTCATGCTGCCGCAGGTCAGATGGGCGCTTGAAAGCCTTCTGACACTCACTGCAGCGGAAGGGTCGCTCCCCGCTGGGTGTGCAGGGGTGCTGCAGCAGCTCTGACGACTCCTTGAAGTGCAACTCGCAGATGTTGCACTTGAAGAGGTGCTCCCCAGAGTGCGCGTACATGTGACGCACCAGGTGGGAGCGGTGCTTGAAGGTCTTCTCGCACACCGTGCACTTGTAGGGCCGCTCTGAGCTGTGCGTCCGCTTGTGGTGCACCAGGTGGGATGACTGGCTGAAGCTCTTGTCGCACAGCGTGCACTTGTAGGGCTTCTCACCCGTGTGGATGCGCTCATGCCGGGACAGCTCTGAGAGGTGCTTGAAGGTTTTCTGACAGATGGAGCAGCTGTAGGGCTTCTCTGAGGTGTCAAGAGGCTGCAGATGCTCTGCCTCAGGGGGCTTGTAGGTTTTCTCACAGATAGAGCACTTCATGGCGTTGCTGTTGTGGACGTTGTGGTGCTGCGCCAGTGAGGTCAGGAGGGAGAAGCCCATCTTGCAGACACCACACACAAAGGGCTTCTGCTCCACCTGGATGCACTGGTGTTCGAGAAGGTCAGTGGCCTGGTGGAAGACCTTCAGGCACTGGGTACACTGGAAAGAGCGATCATGGCCTGGCAAGCACTGGTGCTCATGGGGGTTGGAGAGGTGAGTGAGGTCATGGCCACACACCCCACATTTGTGGGACAGGTCTCCAACCTGGAGGGAGGCGTGCTGGGGGTGCTGCAGACCGGGGTCTGGCTGGAGCAGTATGCCGTAGACAGCACAGCCCAGGGAGCTGTCAGTGCTGGGCGGGATGGAGTGCTCTGTGAGAGCGGCTGCCCCAGCGTGGTGCTGCTGTGGTGGCTGTGGTGGTTGCTGCTGTTGCTGCTGCCAGCTTTCTGACATGCTTGGGGAAAAACACGGGATTTCAGCAGGGACAGCTTCAGCTTCTTGGTGGAGAAGGTTCAAGTGAAAACAAGAATTGAAAGTACCAAGATCCTGATTCCCCGTAGCCGATCTGCTGAAGTCAAGGACAGAAAATCCAGCCAACAGCAGGATCCTGGGAAGCACTGACTGAAACTCCAGAGCCTCCTCCTCAGATCAGCTCAAGTTCTTTGTGGACTGATCTGGTTTGGCTTTTTCTGACAAAAGAACAGGAGGCAGAAGCAAGACAAGAGGAGGTCCTTCTCTGCGCTGGCTGTGATGTGCTCACATTTGGGAAGAGTGAGGGAAGCAGCCCAGGGAACAGTTCTCTCTGCAAGGAAGAGGACAGCTGGTGTCAGGTCTTAGAAGAAAGATGGGCAACACTCCAGTCACCCTTCTCCCACAGTTCGCTTTGAAAACTCTCCTGTGTCCCTGCAAAGCTGCCAGAAGGCCAGTCTGGAGGAGCTGACAAGAACCAGAGCCCCCCTTACCACTGGGCTAAAGATGACTGGACCTAGGGAGGGTCAGGCTCTGCCTACACACAGCCAGGCATGTGTTTGAGACATGGGCTCTCAAGAGGCAGCACAGCTGCCCAGGTTCAAGTCAGCAAAGCCACTACCCCAGCTACTGTCATCCACTGGATGCCCTGGCCCCAGTGGGGGCATGGGCTGAAACACCCATCTCTGCCCAGGCTGAGGTACACGAAATGCTGTACAATCAAGAAGCTACCAGATCAGATTTTATAGACATCAAGGCAGATCCCAAGCTGATCCCATCCCAGCTGAAACACCCCTGTAAGGCAGTTCTGCTCCTCCTGCCGCTTGGGTATCGGGCACATTACCCAAGGGATGTATGTAAGAGATATCCTCTGCTCCTTCTGGGCAGCACTTGTGGACTAGGAAGAGCAGGAACCTCTGCTATCCTATCCACAAAACACAGAACCCACAGGTATCATGCAAAGAACCTGCTGTGAAGATAAAAGAACTGTTAAAGCAGTAACTCAGCTGAACCTCCTACCAAAACATGGAACAGAAGTACACTGGAGCTGAACATTCTACACCAGAGCTGCTGCCTGGTCTTACTGCAGAATATCACAGCTCACTAAAAAGTTCCAGTCTTTCTAGAGATGTCCAGAAAAACCTGGTATAAACTTAAGAGTAAAACCCACCAGTGAGCAGCAGAGGCAACACATCTCAAGAGAGAGAGAGGGTCCAGGCTTTGGCAAGAAACAGCCTGGGCCATGAGTTCCTAACCCCCATCAGAGCACAGACAGGAATGAGTCAACCCACATGCCCCTACCCAGGGTTAAGTAAAACCTGGGTCTTCTAGGAAGGTGTTTGTTGTGTTTAAAACCAAGCGCTAACGAGGACCAAAGAAACCCACTTCCCACCTCCCCAGTGCTCAACTGAGATTGGATGGTTACCTACAGCTTAGGGAGCTTCTGCCTACAGGGACTTGCAAAATAGTATTTTGACTGCCAGCAAAATTTTGGATAGTAAAACACCCAAAGGTCCCATCACCACCCTGCCAGAACGCCAAGATCTGCTCTTTCTGCTACATAGCTCACCTTGCCTGCAGACATGGGCTGGCAGCAGCAATCCCCAGCACGGAGCTTGATGGGATGGATACAGAGCTTCAGCCCGGCTGCAGCCCTCCCGCTCGGGCAACGTTAACCACGGCAGGAGCATCCCAGACCCATGGAGGAGGGGGGGAACGAGGAATACCAACCTTGGCTTACCGAGTGTTCTGCACGGGTACCCGAGCCAGCGCCAGCTCCGAGCCTAAGTCATCCCTCCGTGGGAGGTGGGAAGCGACTACCATTCCAGGAGAGCAGACGGGAGCGCAGAGGTACTTTCAAACTGGAGCAGCAGCTCGCAGCACGGCCTGCTCCTGCATGGTGCTGCCCGCGCCCGCCTCCCACCGGCGGGCCAAGGACGAGGCCGCCTCAGGGAGCGGCGCGGCGGGCCCGGGGGCCGCGGGGGCGGTCAGGGAGCTCGGAGGCCAGCGGCCGCTGCAGCCCGCGGCCAGGCCCGTCCCGCAGCTCGCCTCTCCCCATGGGACGGCTCCCGCGGCCCCGCCGGCGCGCGCACCGGCGCGCTTACGGTGCCCTGCGGCCTGCCCCGCCGCTGCGCTGCTGGAAGCCCCACGCTGGGCTGGGGTAGGGGGTTCTTGCCCGCCCCGGCGAGGCCCACACAAAGGGCGGCGGCGGCGGCGGCCAAGCCCCCAACCTCCGACGGGAGGGAGGCCCCTGGCAGCCTGCTCGCTACCGGCGGGGCCGCGGCCTGCACGCTCCGCCCAAGCCTCACGCCGGCGTGGCTACGAGAGCCGGGAGGGAGGGACGGAAGGAGGGAACGGGGCGCCGGTGCCGGAGGCGGGCGGGCGGCGGCTGCGGACGGAGGGAGGGCGCGATCCCAGCGGGCCGGATCGGCCGCGGCGGCGGCGGAGGCGGAGGCGGGGCGAGCCGCGGAGGCTGCCCCCTGCTGGGCCGCGGCCACAACAGCGCCCCCGCCGGCACCGGGGCACCGGCACTGGGAGAGGGGGTCACCGGCAGCAGCGGCCCGGAAAGGCTCGGCGGAGCCATGAGGGCCGCCCTGGTGGAGTACAGCAGCTCGGAGGAGGAAGAGGAAGGGAGGCACCGGGGTGGCGGCGAACAGGAGTCTTCCAGGGCCGGGTGAGTGCAACGGGAAGGGCCCAGGGCGGTGGGAGCCAGCGGGGCCGGGTGAGGACGCGCGGCCTTCATCCTTCTCGTCCTACAGCGCTGTGCGGCACCGCCTGCCGCTGCCCGCGGACCTGCCGGGCGATCTGGAGCCGGAGGAGGCCGTTACCGATGACAGTTCCCGGCACGGCGGCCGCGTCCGCAGCTTCCCGCACGAGCGGGGCAACTGGGCGACCCATGTCTATCTGCCCTGTAGGTGATGGCGGGCCCGCGAGTCCGCGGGGCAGCCGGTGTCCGGCGAGGACGGGAGCTTCGGGGAGGGGTGGTGGTGGGCTCGGGGACAGCCCGTGTGTGAGCGCGCTGCCCGCAGACAGGGTGCGGGAGGAGTTCCTGGAGCTGCTGGAACTGCTGGTGTACCGCGCCCGTAACCACGTCCCGTCGCTGTCGGCGATGGAGGAGTTCCACCTCAGCCTCTCGCAGTGCGTGGTGCTGCGTTACCACTGGATACAGCCCTTCGTGAGCGGCCTCAGGGCGCGCCTGGCCTCCTTCCACAGGTACGTGCCTTCGGGGGCCGCTCCCCTCCGCCCAGGCCTCTGGGTGCAGCGGCACCTGCAGGCTTCTCTGGTGCTTATCCCTACGGAGCTCTCAGCGTGATCGGGCAGCACAATCACGTCTGCCCTCTCCGGGCGGCGGCGGTGCTGTGCCGTGCTCTGCCCCAAGGGTCATTTCTGAGGCTCCGAAAAGCTGCAAACCGGAGGAGTTTGTCCGAGTCCAGGAAGGTTCTGGCTTCAGCTATTCGGTGCCAGTGGGGCACACATTTGCCTTTATCTTTCCAATGCTCGTTAGAAATCGTGTCCCCTCCACAGGATTTTTTTTCTCTCTTCCCCCCCCCCCCCCTTCATTTTTCTCATTTTCCCACTTTTGTTTTTTCTCATTTCTTCTCCCCACTTTTTCCCTCCCCCCTTTTTTCCCTATGTCTTTCCCCCCCTTTTATTCCACACTTCTTCTCTTTAACTCTTTTTTTTTCTCACTTTTTCCCTCTTTTCTCCTTTTTTTTCCTTCTCTTTTTTTCCCCCAATTCCCCCCTCTCTTTCTCCTTTTCTTCCTCTCCTCTCTTTTCACTCTCTTTCCCCTCTTCTTTTTTCTCTTTTTTCTCTTATTTTCTCTCATCCCCTCCACCCCACAACCCTTTTCTTTTCCTTCCCTTTTTTTTTTTCCACTCTTTTTTTTTTTTTCCCTTCTACCAGCTGAAATAGGTTCTTCCTTATTTCAGGTTCTTTTGTGTAGCTGACCAAGTGAAGGTTTACACCAACCAGAACAAGACGAGGTGAGTGAGTAGCAGCACACCCTCCCTGCCTGCCTGGGGAGGAGCCTGAGCAAGGTGCTGGGTGAATAGGAGGCATCACCCTGCCTGTCCCACAGTGACTTGGCTGAGCCGTGTGACAGGGCAGTACAGGATCACTGCATCCCCAGAGGTCTCACCCGTTCCCGAGCCACTTGCACAAACATTTAGCTCCAGTGCTGATTCTCTGCCAGCCTTTGGTCACATCAGCAGTGGGTGAACCTGCAGCCTGGGGTGGGCAGAGCTGGGGCCACATCTTTTGGTAGCAATGCTGGTGGTGAAATTGTAGTGCAGGTCTTTCAAGAGCTGGAGTGAAATGGCTCAGACAATGCTAATTCTCGTGGATGTCAGCTCAGAAGCCTGATTCTGACTGAATGCAATTAAGTAGTTTAAATGTCAAAGCAAAGGTGTTTAAATTGTGAGAAGTTGCTGAATCTAGTGGGAATGGCAGCTCACGATAGTCATGGGCATGAAGAAGTGGATCCTTAGTCCTCCCCTCCCCTCCTGGAGTCTAGAAAGCATCATCCAGAGAGTCCTCTTGAGGAGATATCTCTCCAGCTTGGCATGTCCCATTGCCTGCTTCCTCTCCCACTGTAAAACACCTCCAGCAACTTCTGCTTTTTGACAGCAGCTGCTGCCCAGGCCCATGGCCTGCTGGAATTTCCATAGAATGCATCCTGTGCCTGTAAAGTGAGTTTTTGTGTCCCAAACAGTGCTGAATTAGTCTAGTAGGCCTGTACTGTGTATAATCCAGTCCCTCTTCTCCCTGCCACTACATCTCTGTTTCTTTTTTTCTTGAGAATGTGGTCAGTTTCATTGAACGCTTAAACCTGGAATTCCTCATATTATCTTTTGTTAGGGGGTAGGGAAATTGCCTGGTCAGAACGCAGGGCTAAGTATGCTTTCAGCTGTGCTTCCTGCAGCATGAGAGCATGCTTGCTGTCTCTCTTTGCCTTTTTCTAGGACCTTTATTGGCTTGGAGGTCACTGCTGGGCATTTTCAGCTGCTGGAGCTGGTCTCAGAGGTAGACAGAGTTCTGGAGGAATTTGACCTTCCCACATTCTACAAGGTGAGGTGTCTTCCAATGCTTTCCTGCCGCTCTGAACATGCCAGCTGGTTCCGTGTGAGAGGCCCTTAAAATGTTCACCTCAAATAAAGAGGCACAAGGAGGTTACACACTGAAATGGTCTCCTCTGGGCTTTTCATACCTCACACGCTGAACATAATCTTGCTGAGAATAGGACTAGTGAAAGTCATAGCAACCTCAGAGCAGCCTTCCAGTGTCTGAAGGGGGCCTACAAAGATGTGGAGAGGGACTCTTCATTAGGGACTGCAGCGACAGGACAAGGGGTAATGGGTTCAAACTTAAACAGGGGAAGTTCAGTGAGAGTGATGAGGCACTGGAATGGATTGCCCAAAGAAGTTGTAAATGCTTCATCCCTAGCAATGTTCAAGGCCAGGTTGGACAGAGCCTTGGACAACATGGTCTAGTGTGAGGCATCCCTGCCCATGGTGCAGGGGGTTGGAACTGGATGATTTTAAGGTCCTTTCCAACCCTAACCATTCTACAATTCTATTCTGTAAGTCTCTGACTTCTGTATCATGCCCTGTGCAGGTGAGTAAGGATGTTAACTGTCTAGTGGCCTCTTGAGAATCATGTCTCTGTGGCAAAGGGCCAGAGCAGACACTCAGCTGTGCATGGAATTAGGGTTGTCCTAGGATAAAACAGGCTTGGGGTGAGCACTGCGGTGATGCTTGTGCCTCTTCCTTGGGCAATTTCTTGGGGCATCTGTCTAGCCTTTTTGCTTGGTACTAGCTTTGAGGACAGATTGTGGAATTTGAAGGGCCAGACCCTGATTTCTCTGTCTCCAGAGCTGAGCAGGAGTCTCTTGTGTACTATTTGGAAGTGACCCACCTACCCACTGTGGGACCGGCCATGGGAGGTTCTCTGTGCAGTTGCTGACTGCAGGGAGGCTGAGAATCAGCCTTGCCCACCTGTGTACAGAAAGACTGGGCTGGGGGAGTGCAGGACTCAATTCACCTCATGCACATCAGCTCTGCAACTGTTGAGCTGGCAGAGGGGGCTCCCAGCCTCAGGATCCTCCTGCCTGTGTGGTCCCAGGCAGGACAGCATCACACCAGATCTCCCACCATGGTTCCATCCGTTGAGCAGAGCCTCCTTCACCCCTCACGATCTAATCCCTGTTTTGCTTTCAGGACCCATCATTCCACATCAGCTTGGCCTGGTGCGTTGGGGACCTGTCGGAGAGGCTGGAAGGGCAGTGCCTGCAGGAGCTCCAGGTATGGCCCCGCACAGCATGGAGAACAGGGGAAGAGCAGAGCTGGTGTTCAAACAAGGGCAGAGGAGATTTCTTCACTGAGCAAGACAAACTTCACTGGGTTGGAAGAACTCGTATTGCTTTTGGGGGCAATTAAGATAAGTCACCCTCCAGAGGGAAGTCAGAGGCTTCTGGCCACAAACGGCCTCATCTCCAACTTGGTTGAGGGAGGGAGCTGCTGACTCTGTCCTCTGGCAGATCCATCCTCCTGGTACTAATTCCTCCATCTGGTTTCCAGGACATCGTGGACGGGTTCGAGGACTCGGCACTCCTGCTGCGTATCCAGTGGGAGCAAATACATTGCAAGTCAGGGAACAAGTACTTCTCCTTCCCCTTGAGGTAGGGGCCCTTGGGACTGTGCATGTCAGACCTGAAGAGCCTGATGTTTAACCAAGGACAGATCTGCAGTGCAGCTCGGAACTTTGCATGCTCTCACGCACTTCCCATGTTCCTCTTGCCTGCTCAGCATCTCCGGGCCTCCAGTCAGGCTACTTCCAAGTCTGAGTTGCTGGCTAAGAACTGTGTGTTTGTAGCAGGTTACATCCTCACTGCTGTATATGCAGTAGTCAGCACTGGTGGTTCCAGCCATCACACAGTTGCTAGTTTTGCCAGTTTTATAAAAAAAAGAGAAAATATATAAAAGTCATAAATGCCTTGTGGGAAGGAGGAAGAAAGTAGCATGGGAAGCTGTTGCTAAAGGGAGAGTGTCTTGCATTGTTGTAAATAGCACTGCCATGTCACCAGGAGGCTGTGAGAATTTAAGTAGCAAGAAGCAAGGACATGGAGCTGTACTCTCAGCTGAGCATCTTCATACTGTAAGCCAGCTTCGACAAGTTCCTGGGATGCGTTGTGTCCCCATCCCACTGATGCTGCCTTTAGAGAGAAATTTCAGTACTTGATCCTTTTGCCAAACAGCAGAAGATGAAATCTGGATGGGAGGATGGGAGTGGTTGGGAACCCCTTGTGTTTCAGTGATCCAGGCTGGGTCTAAAACAAGAGCTTTGATTTAAAAGGGTGAGTGCTATAAGCCCAGGACTTCAGAGGGCTGCTTCTCCAGAGAGGCTTGCTGCCATGTGGTCATGGGGTGGAAGCTCCTGCCCAGCCTCCGTGCTTTTTCCTGGTGAGAGCAGCAGCCCCAGAGCTGCAGTGACCAAGGAGATGGCAGGCTGGTCTTTGTCCCTTAGAAGAAACTCCTTTTCAATCCTTTTGTTCCAGTGGGCAGCCAGCTGCAGCCCCTGAGGCTCTTGGAACAGGATCCCAATGTGTTGCCCTGAATCTTTCGTTCCTCATCTGTCTGATGAAAGACCCCAGGACTTGTGGGCAGTAAAAGTCTGTCTCGTGTCATAAAACCATTTCTGTGGTGTATTTCAGATGTTCCTTCAGACACACCCAACTCCTGCAGACTTAAGGTGGTGCAGTGGCTACAAATGCTTCTGTGTGCTTGATGCTTGCCTATGAGGAAGCCAGGGGCTTTGTGGCCATGGGAGCATCTCAGCACATGTCACAGTGTCTGCCAACACTCACGCAGTAACTGGTTTTCAAAATCATCAAATCATGGAATCCCAGGCTGGTTTGGGTTGGAAGGGAGCTTAAAGTTATCCAGTTCCAACCCCCTGCCACAGGCAGGGACACCTTCCACTAGACCAGTTTGCTCTAAGCCCTGTCCAACCTGGCCTTCAACATTGCCAGGGATGGGGCAGCCACAGCTTCCCTGTGCACCCTGTGCCAGGGCCTCACCACCCTCACAGGGAAGAACTTCTGCCTTGTATCTAACCTGAACTTCCCATTTAAGTTTGAACCCACCACCCCTTGTCCTATCACTACAGTCCCTAACGAAGAGTCCTTCTCCAACATCCTTATAGCCCCCCTTCAGGTGCTGGAAGGCTGCTTGGAGGTCTCCACACAGACTTCTATTCTCCAGGCTGAACAACCCCAACTTGCTCAGCCCGTTCTGAGGTTGGGATGAAGCCATGTCCCAAATCTCCATCCTAGCTTCCTAAGCTTTTTGGTGGATTTTGTGGGACTGGAGGTCTGGCATTGCTGACCCCATGACAGCTGGGGAAGGGGTCCCTGTCACAGCTGAGGCCCTTCCTATATGCCTTGTCAGAGGCCGGGTACCCTCGTACCCCGGGGAGCTCCTCAGGGTCCTGGTGCTGTCCCCCAGGGCTGGAAGGTGGCTGCTGAGGCCAGCCGAAAGGAGCTGAAGTGTCGGGGTGGCGGCCGCAGCCCTAGGAGCTGGGGGTCTCCAGGAGCCGAGACTGTAAAACGGAGTGGGTCAGCCCCAGGGGATGCGCAGTGTCGTTATTGGGCTGCCTCGCCATGTTTTGGTGCTGCACCGGCTGCGACAGTACCAAGGCAGCGCCAGGCCTTGGCGCGATGCCTGGGGCCGTAACACCGCCGGGCGGGGGAGGGCAGCGAGACAAGAAGGGGGGGGATATGTGGCTGATCGCAGCACTCTAGGGGGGCTACCTCCCCTTCCCGTGCCCCCATGACTCCGCGCGCGCTCCGCCACTTCCACTTCCCGCTCCGCCTCAGCATCTTAACAGCCCGGGTCGGCCGCTTGTGCGTATGCGTAAAACGAGAAGCGTTGATTGGTTTAGAGAGCAAAAAAATACTTGGGGAGCTCTCTGGCCAATGGAAGCACGGCGCTGGCTTACGTAAGGGGCGTGGATAACGCAGGGTGTGGCCGGCAGAACGTCCCTTCAGAGGTCGCGCCCCATTGATTGGTCAGGATTGACCCGGTGTCTCCTTTGCTGTCCTCTGATTGGTGGAGCGCGTCGCCAGCTGGGGCGGGAAGCTTGGAGGGAAGCCCCGCCCACCCCACTGTTCCCCCGGCTGCTCCCCCCCCCACTCCTCCGCTAGCGTGCCGCGAGGGGACGGGGGAGGGGAAAGGCCGCGACGTGAGCGCGCGACCCTGTCCGCCATTTTGTAGCGAAGCGGCGGAGGAGGGAGGATAAAAGCTCGGTCGCTCGCAGCCCGCTGCCCGTTCCGGACCTTGAGGTGAGTGCGGCCCTTCGGGCACAGCGCGGCCTCGGCTCACGGCCCGCGGGTGCGCTGCGGGCGGAAGGCGCTCCTGGGACAGCGGGACCTCGGTCCCGCTCTGGCTGTAGGGGTGGCGGTATAGGCCGCGGCGGGGCCGGTAGAAGCAGCGCAGTCGGCCCCGCCGTGTTCGGGTGAGAGCGGGGCAGCTCGCGGGGCGCCTGCGGCTCGGCCCGCGCCGCTCTCGGCTCTCCGGCCCGCGCCGCTCTCGGCTCTCCGGCCCTCCGGCCGCTCTCTCAGCCCGCGTCCGCGCGACGGGAGGAGCAGCCGAGCGAACTTTGACGGACTGTTCTTTAGCCCAGGGCCGGAGCCGCCGGCTTTGGCGGGTTCGTGGGTGGCAGGCCGCGCGGTGATCTGTGCCGACTGGCACGGAGCTCCTCAGCTCTGGAGCTGTTTTCTTTTCTGCTCCCCGCCCGCTTTCGTGGGGTTGACCGTGGCAAATGGAGCCTTGGGAGACTCAGGAAGGGGCCAGTGCTGCCCCTGCCCGAGCACGGCTCGGCGGCCTCTTGGGAGATCGTCGCTGTTGTCACCCAGTGAAAACCAGCTGTAAAAAGCTGCCTGTAGTAAATCACTGCGTGACAGAACTTTCCCGCAGACCCTATGGAAAGAATGCTTCTCAAGGATGTTCTGAAGTTCAGGACACTCTGCACAGTAAGATGGCCTTGCTTATTTCAAAGCTAAAAATAACAACAGATGTTGTATTGTTAGAAATAGCTCCTTTGCAGTAGTTCTCTAATCTGGGGTAGTACTGTGTTCTCTTTCTACTGCCTTTACGCTCTGACTAGGCAGTCATAGTTTAATTTCAACAAACCACAAACAGTTTGGACTGTTTCTGCAACAGAACTGAGGGAAAATGAAGAAATAAAACACACAGTCTGTGGGTTCACCGTGAGCTTAGACTGTTTCTGAACCCACTTGTTGGAAGGAAGAGTGACATCTGTTCTCAGTGGAACTTTTTTTAAGCAGGTAACAAAGCAGGTATGACACCTGACATGTCATTCCAAATGCACACAACAAGTGTTTTCTGTCCCTAAGTAACTTCGTTGGCATCAACTAAAATTACAGGCCGGAGGAGTCCAGGTGAGGTGGCATTGGTGATAGACTTTTTTGCCCTTGCTAGAATTGTTATTGCTTTGGGTATTTCTGCATTTATGATTTTCAGGTTTCCTGCTAACTGTTTATGCTATTGGTCTTTGTGTCTCCAAACCAGACTCATAGCAAGCTGCAAGGGAGTTGGAACTGGATGAGCTTCAAGGTCCCTTCCAGTCCAAACGAGTTTGTGATTCTATGATTCTATCTACCTGTCTCTCCTCTTTAGAGACATGCCTACTTCTTTTTATATTTCCAGTATAGTGATCCTAGATATTCACTTTAATTGATGCTGAAGTGGCTGCTGGTGGTGTTCGGATGGGTAGATGAAAGAGAAGCTGTGCAAAGGAAACTTAGGAAAAGTGGACATTGAAACTTTGTGACCCTGTAATGGGTCATTGCTGAACTGTGCTAGAGATTCTTATCATTTTACCGGTTGAGGACTTCTCTTTTGTTTTACAGCCACCTGTACTGTATGAATACTGATAGTCTCCTTTGCTTTTTGACGTAGCATTTAACTCTTCTAAAACATGTTTTGGATGGGATAACAGTACTAATCCTTTGAGAACAGGTCCTTGAATTTTCTTCACTTCCCTCCATGGAACTTTATCCTGCAGGATTTGACTGAAGAGAAAGTGGAGAGTTTTTTTGGAGTTTTTTTCCTGTGTGGACAATCCTAACTTAAGATGTGAACACACCTGAAGCAGCCATGTCATCATTGGTGCATGCCTGATTTATTTGGGGTAGGTTCCAAACATGGAACTTAACTGGCCTTAGTGTATGGAAGCAAACTTACTTGCTCAGTTCAGCTGATCTCTGTAAACGAAACTTACTGTGTCTACTGTGTCTAATCGTCATTGTGGCATCCAGTTGACTGGAGTTATGTGCATTTTTCCAGTAAATGGAATGTTCACATGGCGCTTCTACATGTAAACTCCTAAATTTGAACCCATCAAATTATTCAGGAGCTTATTTTACTGTTCATGTGACTTACACAATAAGGCTTTTCTTTCTCTAGATTTCAAAATAATGGACTGAAATCTAACTTAGCTATGGTATTATTTCCTGCAGACCCCAAGAAGGAATGCTTCTCAAGGCTGTCCTTCAGTTCAGGACATGCTGCCTGGTAAAATGTCCTTGCTTATTTCAAAGCCAGAAATAGCAACAGATGCTGTATTGTTAGAAATATCTGCTTTGTGATAACTCTCTAACTTGCAGGAGTATGATGTTATCTTCATACAGTCAGGCTACTTACCTTTCCCCTTTGGAGAGCTTCTCACATGGGGCTTATTTTTCCACGAGTCCTGTTCTGGGTTTGAGAATTGGGTAAGGGACCCTGTTTGGTAGAACAGGTTTAACAGTAGTACTTGAAGCATGTTTCATACGATGATTTTGACAGGAGTTTAGAATCTACTTTGCAAACATGTAGCTCTGTCTGTCACTCAGGGTTTTGTATCCTCCACATGCAGTATGCATAAAGTGTTCATGCCTCCTGAAACCCAGTGGGAGTTGTTAACTTACCTCTGTAAAATACTCAAAACATCCAAAACCCAGCTTGAAGTAATTTTGAAATTACTTTCTTTGTAAGGGTGCTTCTGAATTTCTGGAAGAATTCAGGTTTATTGTCTTCAGCAGCAAGGCTTAGTTACTCCT